CTTTGTAATCATATTTTTGATAATATAAGCTTGGGAAACTCGGTTCTCTTCTCATCTACCTTTGTCTATTGTGTGAGACTACTGATCATTGTGTGCGAGTATGATGCATGACATGTACACACTTGCGTGAGATGGTCCCCAGGACCCATGCAAAATTTGGTATCGGAGCAGATGCTCGCTGCACTCATAGCGCTGGCTTGATCAAGGCCGGCGAGGAGAAGTGGTGATGGAGGATTGGTGAAGGAGGAAGAGAAGAAGTGTTGTATGGTGGGGGAAGCAGGCCGAAGAAGAAGTGGCGAAGTCTACTTACCTGGAGCGTGCGGAGCGTCGTGGAGCGTCATCGGTGGTATCTTCAAGAAGAGAGAAGCACCTCCTTTCCTTGAACCTGCATGTATGTGTGTGTCCCCTACCTTCTCTCTCTCTGACCCTCTGAAGGTGCCTGCTGCTGGTCTGGTCTGGAGTTGAAGTCTGGATCTGGATCGTCCTAGTAAGTCCGAGTCTGGGTGGTCCAAAGGTGATGTGTCAGAACCTGGTCACACTAGAGTAGGTGGTCCAGTGTCCTGTGAGTAGGAGTAGACTTCTCTCCTACCCCTCTCAATAGATAGGCTGGGTGTCGCCATCAAGGACTAAAGAATCGATGTGGGAGTGGCTATGTGCCACGTCAGACAGTAAGTACCAGGCATTGTAAGAATGATATTGAGCATCTACAGGGCCTGCTCAGCCCGACGGAAAGAAACAAATGAACGAAGTATTCCTGCCTGGTTGGATACGTAAACCATCTGAATCTGATCTTCTGCGCTGAACTCCATACCTGCATCGGACAACCCAACAAGTTAGTATAAAGAAAAACAACAAAAAAATATATCAGAAGAAACAAGACATCAGAAGCACATCGCCGAAAGTTTGATCCAGGAAGCCAGACAGCATATCAAAGAGAAAGAAAAAGAGTATACAGCTTGTTCTAGTTGGATCTATTGTTTGATCTACGCAGCACTTTCTACAAAAAAAAAAAAAAGTACAGCACTCCATTCACCGCAGATTAGGAACTGAGTCTGTAAGTGGGATAGTACCTTGGTGATCCGGCGGAGGATCTCCTGTGCCGGTAGTCATCATGGATGACTATCCCATCCAGGGTCTGTTGGCCCTTTCTGTCTTGTTGGGGCCGTTGTTCCGGATGATGTTCCCTTTGGGGTTCGGACGGGTATGTACGTCCCTCATGTTGATGCGGTCAGGGACAGTGAAGTCTGGCCCCACACCTGCGGAACAAGCAGAAATTGACCGCAGGCTGGCAGAAAAGAAAAAAGAAAAGGAAGCGAAGAAAAAACAGAAAGAAGAAGAAGCGAAGAGGAAAATGAAAGAGAAGATGGATAAGGAACTAGAAGAAGAGTTGAAGAGTATACCAGAAGAAGAAGAAGAAGAAATAGAACAAGAAGAAGAACAAGCATTGCAAAGACG